GAGAGAGAGAGAGAGAGAGAGAGAGAGAACAGAATTTGGGTAGTAACTTGACCTATACACAAGATGGAGACATGAAATTTGTGCGTGTGTGCGCATTTTTGTACGGGACAAAGGGGAACGTAGGTTTCGTAATAGTAAATTATTGAAATAAGGTGTTACACACGCACCTCAACACAATTTCCATTATTTGGTCGCTTTTAAGCACAAGGGAACTATCCTGAAAAATGCTGTTTTGAGAAAATCGAGGTAATGTCTTTGGACCCTTGTTCAGTTTCTTCAAAAGACAAGGAGAGTTTTCTCTATAACCAAACAAATATACCCACCAATGAAACCAAACTTCTATGGATAGGACAATGCCCACTTTTGGTGCAGGTCAAGATTTCTGGAAACCCTCGAAATCTGGGTTAGCCCGCTTGTCCTTTAAGGCGACCCTTAACTCAGTACAAGTACAGTGTTTTATTTGTGGTGTGCTGACAAAATGAGCTAGTCTCGGATTGTAGCCCGTGGAGACTGACAGATACATGGAAGTTATAGGTTGGCGTGCTACGATTTCTTACATGAAAGGATGAAAGACATGTCGAACGTGAAGAAAAAACGACATCTCTAAAACAAATCGACAAATTTGCTGTGTCTATTCTCGGCCGATATCTCCACTCATGGGTTGCGAAGTAACTCATTTTGTCGACACACCCCACATATATATGATAAATCGTATGCAGGGAACGTATGAAGGAGAGATCAGACCATTGTAATTGTAGACAGATTTCTGTTGCGCTGATTCGTATTTCACCCAATAATCATAAACAATTTATTGTAATGGCAGCTCGACCCCTCAGCGCCCTTTTGTCAGTCAGGTTAACCCTTTATGTAAAGCGGGCACGGCTGGCAGCCGATCAAGGGAAATGTAGGGGCATACGTGTGTTGTCATTTCAAACCGTCATACAGAAAATGGATTTTCATAATGTAGACCATGTGCGTTCTTGCTGTTGTGATTATTATTATTATTATTATTATTATTGATATTATTATTATTATTATTATTATTATTATTATTATTATTATTATTATTATTACGATTATTATTATTATAAATAATTATTGTTGTTGTTGTTGTTGCTGTTATTCTTGTTTTTGTTGTTGTTGTTGTTGTTGTTGTCGTCTCTATTGTCGTTCTATTTGTTGTCGTTGTCATCGTCGTCGTTGTTGTTGTTGCTTGTTGTTGTTGTCGTTGTTGTTGTCGTTGTCGTTATTGTTGTTTTTACTGTTGCTGTTGTTATTGTCATTGTTGTCGTCATTTTCAGAGATACTGTTGTTGTTGTGAAGAAAATCAGTTTTAAAAAGAGCAACAACCCCCCCCCCTCCAAACAAAACAACAAAAACAACAGTACAAAAACGAAAAACAAAAAACACAACAAAATTAGAATTGAAGAATCTAGACTATTTGAGTTACGATCATATTTGTAAAACTCATTTGAATAAATTTTACTTGTTTTTTTTTATCTCTCCAGAGCTCATCAACACATGCCGTCTTCAGCTTCAAAGAGTTAACTCACTCAAGGACTCGCCTCGGTGACCCATCATCGGTGACCCATCATCGGTGACCCATCATCCCACTGTTGGTGAATGCTCGTGAACGATCGAGAGACAGGTCTACTTAACCCTGTAGCGAGGGCAGCAGCAGTAGCAGCAGACTCGACAACTCTCTCTTATTTTATAATAGATCTAGATTGATCTAAAGTTTATAGACGTTATTCACCTCTGTCTGTGTTTTGTTTGTTTGAGTAAAGAGGAACACATCGACACAATCATGGTCGTTTAGCGCTGGGGAAAAAAGTAAAACAGATAGACAGAAACAACAGAGGGAAAAGTAAAGACGAAGGACCTACCAGTGGCGCCCTCCAACCACCCACACCGTTCTCTGTCGTAAAGACGAAGGACCTACCAGTGGCGCTCTCCAACCACCCACACAGACAGACAGAAACAACAAAGGAAAAGTTAAGACGTAGGACCTGCGGTGCCAGTGGCACCCTCCAACCACCCACCCATTACTCTCAACTCTCTGCCTCATAGTATAGACGTTATTCACTCTCGGTCGACTTATCTGGGCCTGGGGCCGGCTGTGCTGTGGTGACTGTGAAGTCTTGTTTCCTTATAGAGTGGTGGTGACTGTGAAGTCTTGTTTCCTTATAGAGTGGTGGTGACTGTGAAGTCTTGTTTCCTTATAGAGTGGTGGTGACTGTGAAGTCTTGTTTCCTTATAGAGTGGTGGTGACTGTGAAGTCTTGTTTCCTTATAGAGTGGTGGTGACTGTGAAGTCTTCTTGTTTCCTTATAGAGTGGTGGTGACTGTGAAGTCTTCTTGTTTCCTTATAGAGTGGTGGTGCTTGTGAAGTCTTGTCTCCTTATAGAGTGGTGGTGCTTGTGAAGTCGTGTTTCCTTATAGAGTGGTGGTGCTTGTGAAGTCTTGTCTCCTTATAGAGTGGTGGTGCTTGTGAAGTCTTGTTTCCTTATAGAGTGGTGGTGACTGTGAAGTCTTCTTGTTTCCTTATAGAGTGGTGGTGACTGTGAAGTCTTCTTGTTTCCTTATAGAGTACTGGGGACTGTGAAGTCCTGTTTCTTTATAGTTATAGCGTGCTGGTGGTGACTGTGGTCCATCCTGTTACCTCGCTGGGCGCTGGTGTTCTCGACTCGAGAGCTTTAGAAGGAGGCGGCGTCGTGGTTGTCGTTGTTGTTGTATGGGTGAGAGATGAGGACAGGTCTGGGCTCCAAGCTGTTGCTGCGCGTGCTGGAGGAATATGTGGTGCTGGTGGTCGTGTGGATAGCGCTGCGGGAGGCCAGCTGTAGGGCCATGAGTTCGGAGCGATTTGCCGGTAAGACTTTTGTGGTGTATATGTTGTTGTTTGTTGCTGTTGTTGCTGCTATTACATTTTTGTTGTTTGTTGTTGGTGATGGTGTTGCTGTCGTTGTCGTTGTTGTCGTTGTCGTTGTCGTTGTTGTCGTTGTCGTTGTTGTTGTTGTCGTTGTCGTTGTTGTCGTTGTTGTTGTTGTCGTTGTCGTTGTTGTTGTTGTTGGTGGTATTGCTGTCGTTGTCGTTGTTGTCGTTGTCGTTGTCGTTGTTGTTGGTGTCGCTGCAGATAGTGGTCGGGTGCTCTGTTGTGGTTTTCACCTTCTTTTGACTTTTCTCCTATCAAACATTTCTCGTCCTTATCAGTTTTCTCCCCTCCTTCTTTCTGTGTTTGTTACTCTCTTGTAACACCTCTAGTCTTCGGCGCCCATATGACCTTATTGTGTCCTTAGACGATTTCTAAAATCCCGTTGCTGTCCTTGTTGTTGTCGTTGTTGTTGTCGTTGTTGTTGTCGTTGTTGTTGTCGTTGTTGTTGTCGTTGTTGTTGTCGTTGTTGTTGTTGTTGATGTTGTCGTTGATGTTGTCGTTGTTGTAGTTGAGTGGCTGAAAGAGGAGCGCCTGTCGCTATGTTGGCGTCCCTGGCCCCTCGGGATTCACAGGAGACACAAAGATCCAATCGGCTCTCATATATTTTAAAATGATTTTGTATGATTGCATTTAACGATAATTCACTTGAGTCTGAGCTATTTTTCACCCAACAACCATTGCAGCCTGACACATCTGGGGTATACTGAAGCAACCACAAAAAGACAACGAACAGTTACTGATATTTTAAGTTAAGCCGCTCTTTTACTTTTACCTCTGTACATATCTAAGCGATTATTTAGCTTAAATCGGTAGGCTATTGAGATATCAACGTTACTTCTTTGACTATGTTATAGAGATTTCAAAATCGTCAAAATTCCAGAATCGTTTTTCCCGAAACTGTTAAAAGTGTATACTATAGTCACTTCTTTCGCCCAGTCGTCGAAATTTGACCCCGTTCGTGCATCAGGGTTTTTGGAAAGATTATAAAGAGAACTGAAAACTGATTAAATTTGGCTGAAGGAGGGGCCTTATATTCTCGAAATCAGAACTGAAGTGGTAGTGGTATAAAGACTGTCGAATATCAGGTCTTACTTGAACCGCCCCCCCCCCTCCACGCTCGGCTTTCAAACTAAAACAAAACAAACCAACAACAACAACCCAAAAGCAACAACAACAACAACAACAACAACACCCCTCCCCTCCACCCCCGCCCCCAACAACAACAGCAGCAACAAAACAAACAAAAACAATACAAAAACAAAACAAAAACCAGGCACGCGCGGCTACAACTCGTGGCCTACTTTGCGCCATTTCTTCAAACCATCAGTGTAAAGCCATTATGCGGGAGTTCAACTCTTAGCCGTGGAAATGTTGTAGGTGCTTTGTCCAAGTACAGGAAGATCACGATAGCTTGAGACCAAACGCCGACAGAAAATCGAATTAGGTCGTAGAATTACGGCCGGTGTCTGTTTCCGGAAGCGAACAAGGCAATAAAGTCTGGTTTGCCACATTGGCTCCGTGCCCCCCCACGTCGTGATGTTGCCGCCCCCTTAACCAAATTTCTTTTCAACCTTCCAATCCGAAAAAACCTGGCTTGTGTCGGAACAAAACAACTTGCAATTGCGCTGTTGTTTCTTTTCTTTCTATCTTAAATGTTCGAAATGAGGTTTTAAAGCAGACAGACGCATAGTTTAAAGTTTTGATCTTGTTCCAAAAGCGTTTAGGCGAATGTGGCCATGTTGCTTATCTGATTTATGTAGTCTATGTAGTCTATCTGGCGAAAAACATCAATCAGCACTTTGCACTCACTGCCTCCGGCATCTTTCTGTGGCATGCTGGGATGTAATTAGCGCATACGTTCTGTCATCATGGGACGAGAGCGGGTGGTTGGCTGGTGCTGTTATGTGGTTGGCGAGCGTTCTTGCCAGTCAGAGACACGCTGGGCTGTGAGAGATACAACATACCAACAGAATGACCGAGACATCCCCCCCCCCTCACCCACTGAGGAATCTTTTGCTTCAGTAATAGTTTTACGGCAGTTTCAACTCAATAAGGTCAAATAAGTGCCGAAGATTAGAGGTGTTACAAGAGAGTAACAAACACAAAAAAAGAAGGAGGGGAGGTAAGGACGATAGATGTTTGATAGGAAAGATGGAGCAAACCGCACCAGAGCACCCACCAACCACCTACTCGGGTCACTTGCGTGGGGCCTAATTGCTACCCAACAGACGCTGGACGCTGATACGTTCATGACGGCATGGGAAACAAAACAAAAACAACAACAACAAAAACAACAACAAATCAAAACAAAACAAATCAAAACAAAACAAAACTCGACTGCAATAATAATGGAGAACATTTGTAGTTATAGCAACTCCCAGCTCAACAGCAAGCTCTATGCGCTTCACAATCTGTACTATAACAAG